AATGAAGGCTGAACATGATAGTGGGACAAGAGGAAAGTAAAAGGAAATAGAGGAAAGAACTAGGAAGCAAAGGGCATTTATCAAAGTCTAAATATAGGCATGTACATATGTAAATATACTTATATATTATGGGGAACAAGATCTATGTACATATATTTATAGGTTTAGTATTAAGGTAGCGGATTGACATTGAGCCTCCACTCAAGTACTCCCTCAAAGCAAGAACACTTTGTCCTCGTATCCTGGCATTTTGTGATGCTCACCTCCTGACATAATCGTTGAAGACAAAATGGGTGCATAAGCAAACGTGGAGAAGAAAGCTGATGATGCCTAGCTATCAAAAGATATAGAATCTGGGATCTTAAAGGCTTGAAGATAAACAAGCGGCCATCTATCTCAGAAGCAATAAAGCCCACATGGAAGAAGCACATCAGCCTGTTTGATCATGAGGTGTTGATAGGATCAGGTATAAGGCATGAAAGACCCAGAACAAAAAATCATATCATTGTCAATGAGGGGGAGTGCAGAGAAGAGACCCAAAGCCCATCTGTAGGCAATTGAACATCTCCTTACAGAAGGGTGGCAGAAAGGAGAAGAGCCAGTCAGGGGACAGTATAGTACCGATGAAACATACAACTTTCCTCTAGTTCTTTAATGTTTCCTCACCCACACTATCATGATCCCAATTCTACCTTACAAATCTGACTAGACCAGAGCATGTACATGGGTACAGATAAGAGCTGGTAACATAGGGAATATAGGACAGATAAATCCCTAAGGACCAATATAGAGAGTAGCCATACCAGAAGGGTAAGTGGAAGGTAGAGATATAAAGGGGGAACCTATCACAATGATCTATCTATAACCCCCTTGCTGAGGGATGGACAACAAAAAAGTGATGAAGGGATACATCAGTCAGTGTAAGACATAAAATGATCATAATAATTTATAAATTATCCAGGGTTCATAAGGGAGAGGGGATGGGAGAGGAAGGGGAAAAATGAGAGGCTGATACCAAGGGCTGAAGTAGAAAGAAAATGTTTTGAGAATGATGATGGCAACTAATGGACAAATGTGCTTGACACAATGGATGGATGTATGGATTGTGATATGAGTTGTAAGAGGCTCCAATAAAAAGACTAGAAAAAAAAGGAAACCGATTTTTTAAAGCAAAACTGACTATAGCAAAAATATAGAATGACATTTATAAAACACCTGTCCCCAAATTCTGTATCTGTAATTCCCAAATCCAAAACACTATTTCATAAATGAAAATTTGGGGGGACAGGAAGGCTAAGGAGTGTGACAACAAAATATACATTTAAAATGATATGTAGTCATTGATAATCTCTTTCCTCATATTTTAGTGTGAATAGTCATATATTTTGCTGCAGAAATAGTGCATTTTATTTTTGAGTATTGATATGACCTCCATCTGGTTACCTGTACAATGTGGACCCCTATGCAGTGAATTGTCATTATACCAGTTGTAACCAATGGTGATCCATGTGTCTCAGAGTAGAACTGGGCTTCATGGGGTTTTCAATAGGGGAATCTTTTGAAAGTAGATTACCAGATCTTTCTTTTGAGGCATCTCTGTTTAGATTCAAGTGACCAACTTTTGGCTTGTAGCCAAGCACTTAAGCATAGGCATTACCTAGGGACTCCAAATAACATTTCAAGGTCGGTGTAATGGATTGTAAACATAACTTGTTCAAGGACTTCAGAAGAGTTACTCTAAACCAGTGTGGGAAATTGAGGACCTGGAAGGAAATGCATGTAGCCTGCAACCAGCACTCGTGACCACAAGGCTTGGTGTGCCAGCCCTTTTATGAAGCCCACCTCCACTGTCCAAAATATGGGGAAAGCACTACAATGCACATATTCTGGGAAAGATGCT